CATTCCTGTTTCTCGGCGGTCGTGCAACACGGCGTTTATTATCGTTACTTCGAGACTCGTCGGAAATGGGCCTCTAAACGCAGTTGTTGGCACAATTCCGGAATATTCCTAGAAGAAATATCATGCGCGGGCATCAATTCGCGTATTGTCGTCTTTGCAAGGCTCGTTATTTGCAAGGCAAATAATCGGAATGTTTTTCCGATCGCGTAATGGCTCGCCCGGAAAGTAATGAAGTAATCTCTCCTCGTTTGCTTTGTAAAGCGAACGCTGATATAACAACCTTCCGGCGTTAATGCTTTTTGGACTCTCATTGCTTTTGTGTGCACACTTTCGCTTATTTAAACTTTAATAATGTGGAAAAACTTTTTTTTTCATGCATGCTGTATGCAAGAGATTTTTCACATCAAACGCCTTTAAGCGAGGAAATATCGCAGGCAAAATTTTTGCACATTTTCAAACAATCATCCGATGATTTACGTGACAAAATTTTGTTTCGTGCATTTGTCGTACATATAAAGTATTGTCACTCTTCGATCTTTTAATAGATCGGACAATTGAACGTTCAATTGCATTCGATTAATCGGATTCAAAGTAAATGATTCAGTCGGATCCAAAGATAAACAGATCCTTCAGTTCGCGAACGAATTTATATCGCGCGACAAGGTCGCGGTTTTTTAACTTCTTTCACGCGTCGTTTCCTGAAAACAGCAAAAATGCGAGAAGAGTATCCTAAATTTTACGATCGGGCGTAAATATATGCGCGAGACAAAAGCTAAACGGACAATGTTCCGCGAGATGAGTCTGCGAAATGTGTTTATGAATCTGCCGGGAAACTGCGTAGGAGGAATAAACGTTATTTTTTTTACCGACGAATTCTGGCAAAAGCCATATCCGTCGCTTGCAAAGTTGGCTAAACGCCTCGAGACAACGCTGAATTTAGGACTATCAGCTGGTCGGTACGTTTAGCTGCTGCCTCGATTAATCCAATCAAACTGCAGAGCGATCCTTTGTTAATCCGCCGATGAATTGATTGGCTCTGAATACTCATGTACATGTGTTTGGCAGATAATTCGAAGATGTACTACTCGGTGGAATATAATTAAACTCCTGCATTCTTGATTTTGATATCTTGCGCGCGCGCACATTTTCTTTACTTCGATTAATATCTTTCTTTAATAGAGTAAATTATACTCGTAATTTAATTGACAAGAAAAACAAAAGCGTACGTTGGAAAATGTCATACACCACGAAAGCATTGTTGCCGCGGTACATTGTACGAGAAAAAGGAAAAAATATTTCGCTGCAAATAAAAAAAAAAAGCCTTTTATAACGTGAAAAATAATTAGATATTTGTTAGTGTAAATTGTTATTTTGTTCAATATCTGTCAAAATTTGTCAGATATTTATGAATCGATTAAAAATACAAGTTCGTTTAACACAATTGAAATATTATAAATTATTTTCATGAAATTAGTCAAAGTCTTACTTGTGTAAATGACCGAATAAGATACATTTCACTGGTTCGTTTTTTTTTAATGCGTGGTAAAAAAAATATTTTCTTACCTTTCAGTGGTGCTTTTCACGAATTCGCCTTTCCAGAGACCGCACGTCAATTCACGAGCAGTTACGGCGAAAAACAGAAGATTTATAGCCAAGAGCACTCCGACCGGTCCAAAGAAGTACGCCAAGATTTCCATGTCACCTGCAAAACAAACGGAAATGATTTTAGAAAAATCCCATAAAAGATGAAACGTAGCCTGTTTTATTATGTTATGTAAAATATAATGATTTTATTTTTTGTCAACATATATTTTTAACATATTTTGTATTGCGTCAGTTTTTTAATTTAAGACAATCGGAAATTAAACACTCTGTTACTAATATTCTGTTTAATACAATCGCGATTTATTTAATGTTCTAGGAATCGTGTTCTATGAGAAACAAGCGATTTCTGTTTCAAACTCGCTAACGATCTATCGACACGAAACGGTTCTTGCACATGGGTTAATCATATGGTGCTTCTCGTCCGCGAGACGACCTCAGCCGGGTCGATACTCCAGAGATTTAAACGGTGCAAATATCCGGATGATGCGATGGTGTGGCTGTTTCGTGTTTAAACGGCGTTTCAATAATAAACGACGCGCGATCGGCCAGCAATTTTATCTTCGCGATGCTTAATTCGACATCGTATCTTGGTGAGAACGCGTGAAACATTTCAATAGCGTCTGCAAAAAACGCTATGAAATGCTTGCACCAGAAAACGAATGCAAACGCCTACAATCTCTGCATACCGGAAGTGACGTCGTGACCTCGATATTTTCTCATTTTATATTGCCAACCGTTTCACATATATGTTCAATATATTAATTAAGGATGTATGTGTCAAGACATTGACAAATATGTCAAAACTTTGACAAAAGCATGAAAATTTCGTAGACTGTTTTACTATTTTTTTTTTTAATATCTGTGCAAAACCTGAGCACAATTCTCTTAACGGTTTAGAGATTATTTAAGTTTAAAGTTAATATTGATTTTTATGGAAAATCGCGTATTGTAGCATTTATTTACAAAGGAAAAAACATTGCCAACAAAATAAAAATTTTCACATATGTTAAGAAAACTCTAATAAATATTTGTGCAAAACTTGATTTAGATGCACTTACTTGTTTAAAAGTTATTTACTAAAAATTGTTGAAAAAGATTATCTTTCTTTCTCTCTCTTTCTGCAAATTACTCGTTTTTCTTTGTTTCTTGCAGTTGATTTCAGGGGGTCACAATCAAAAAAAATTTTTGTCATAAATTAGGAAAAATATTAATTACAACTATTTTCTTTTACAAAGACGTCAAAAACCATATTATTTTATGATACTTTAATTCTTTTTATAATCCGGATTTATTTATTTGATTTTTTAAACAGTATAAACGTAAGAAATATGTTTTTTTAAAATTTTGATAGTTTTTTACTATTATTGTACAACCAAAACATCCTAAGGATCAAATAAGTTTTATCGCTGCTAGAAAATAATAATCTTTCGATAAATATGCTTAATGAGCTACGAAAAGAAAGATAAATGGAAAGATACTGGAACGCGATGGGTTTTCGTAATGCACGCGAGCAGAAATAGATAGGCGATTTATGACGAACAAATAAATTGCTCGATCTGCCAACGGAGAAGGTTTATTTTCTCATTCACATATTGACGCGCGAAACGTTACGACAAAAAGAAAATAGAGGCGAAACGTGTCGCGGCCCTCAGGGAATCGGCTTTTAAATATCGCTCCTCTCTCATTTATTCTTAATTATTTATGACACCGTGCGTAAAAAAAAAAAAAACATGTGTGTATCGCGATCGCGAGTGATAATAACTGTTGAAGCGAGACGTACTTTGTTTCCGTTATCCAATAATATTCGATAGCCGATAACTTTACTACAGCGCCATTGCACATTTGTCTTCCCTCTCGCGGATAGCGTTGTTTACGCACCACCCTGCTACATATATATATTTCGAACGTTACAGCGTACGCACCATTTGCAAAAGACACCTAATTATTCTTCCCCCAAAACTAGCAGCGTGATTAACCTATCGCATTTATGTTTTTGATTACAAAATATCTGAAAATAAATGGCAATGTCATAATATTGTAATTTCCTTTTATGATTATTTTAAACAAACTAAATAACATTAAATAAAAAATAACATTTAATAAAATTTAATATGTGTTTAATATTTATTTAATATGTGATAATTAAAGCATTTAATATTCGAAACGCAATATTTTACCATGCAATTTCTTTTTTATATGCTATAATTGCAAAATTATCTTTGCTCTTTTATTGTGTTCTGGAATAATTGTATTATTCATATTTATATAAACTTTTTAAAATATATGTCAAAAATATATAATACTCACAATGCGTTAAAATGTGTTTCGGAAGTGTGGAAACAATGCTAACGACTGTAACCTTTGTCTCTTATTATACCGCCTTTGTCTCTTATAATTTTCCCGCTCATTCAATTGTAAATTCTCGCTATTTTCGAGGAAAAAAATGTAATTCTCGCAAGAATTATCGACGCTCTGTCAGGGGATTAGCATTTTATTTTAAACCGTGATAAGAGTTGTGAAGCTTGTGGCTAAATCAAAGGCACGAAATAAAGGTACGCAAGGTAAAGATGAACGACACATAACGATCGCGCGCGATCGGGCGTGGTAAAGTTTGCACGGGGTTACAACGAGGCTATTCCGAGACGATCACGCGACCGCCGTGATTCCGCCGTCGAAATTGCGTTCGCTCGGGAAAGGGCGGTATGTATGCGTTTAGCAGAAATTATGGTGAATCACGCGGAGCGTGCACTTAACCAATCGGTGGATCGGTTGTACACACCGGACAAGGGCCGGTAGTGCAAGGCTGCGCGATTCCCTGAATTCCTGGGATATGCACGCACTGGTACGCGTGCACGCTCGGATTTCAAGTTCAAGACAGACATCCGAGGATCCACCCCGTTAAGCGCAGATATTTGCGGTAGATAACGCACGTACGCGCGCGATCGCGAATTCATATTTGCTTCAGCAACATCGTTTACGATATCTTCTAATCGTGATTATACCGATTTCAATGTATGCAATGTGCACGTAAATATACAGAGATAAATGCAATGTTAACGCGGCGATATTAATTCCGTTTGAAAATGAGTTCTTATAAAATATCTATTATAATGAAACGTCCTATAATGAAGAAGACAATAATTTATTTTTATATACATGCAATCCAATCGTTTCTATAAATTGAATATTTGATATTATATTCTATTACAATATTATAAATGAAAAATATATGCATTATTATTATTGTTATTATTATTCGAAATTTATGTTTAAAATAATAGAATATATATAGAATAGATATATATTAAAATTCAAAAAAATTATAAAAAGATTATGGTTTGCTAAACAAATACATTAGATATAATTGTTATATGAAAAAGCTATTGAAAATTTCGGAGATTATTTATAGAATTACACGAGAATATTTTAAATAACAGTGGAAGAACAACGTTCTCACACGCAAAATATACTATTTCGATTGGCTTCACGGTAATTTGACGATAGAGACCCTGGCCGAGACTTCACGGTCGAGTCGCTTTTATCGGGGTGATTCGCCCCCTCGCAACTAACCGGTCCCGACGACTCTTCCAACCCCATAACTACGGATGCAATCTGCCAGAAACAGACTCCTCTCCACGAGGACTCCGTAGCCACTTATCGGTTACAGGGCGCGTCCGCGCAAACAAATCCATAAATAAAATACGACGTAAGCTTCGATTAGCAGTAATGCAGCGCTTTGTCCTCCGCGCAGATATTAAATTGCGACTGACCTAGTTGAGATTTTTCAAGAACTTTTATCGAGAGAGATGGAAAAATTATTACAAAAATTGGACGCAAGTATCGGATCGGATAAATCACCTGCTTGAAGGACTCGACTTTTCGAATTGGATATTTCGAAGCGATAGATTCGCGACAGAAATAAAATGTCGGAGCAACGACCCGAGAAATTTCTGTCGCAAAAACTGTATCTACCATACATAAAGACGATAACCTCATCAATATCTTTTCGAAATATCCTATATTTTTCAGGCACACCGTTAAAAAATTCAAGCGCGAATATTTATCATGAGGTATGTCCGTGAGATTAAAATTGGTTTCGTGCGTAATATCCGTGATTTAAGTGCGCTCATAAGTTTCTCGTTATTTCGCGTTCGATATTTGAGAGACTACTTTAAAATTATGCCGTGCTGTATAAATCTTTTTTCTGAACCGTCCATTATTATAGATGGATTGTGGATCAAGAAAAATAATAATTCAAAATAAATAATTAAAAATAATAATTAAAACAATGATATCTAAAACTAATAGTTTCCAAAACAAGATTAAATTTAATTAATTTTCAATTCTCTTTTGAACAGAAAATACTTCTTCTGACAACTTTCAATTAATTTCAATTTAATTGTGCAAAAATCTACGACAATTATTACGCGTAGTAAAAATAAAATTATCGAAAAAGTTATTCTGTCGAAAATTTCCATCTCTCCGAAAGTCGTCTATATGATGTATGCGATGAATAGAATGTACATAAAACATTTTGATTCGTTTTTTTTTTCACATGCATATCCATACAAGACACGTCAATCGGATCTGCAAACCCGTTACTATTTAACAATCCAATAAAAATGTGACAATACGCAATAACAATACCCAATGTTTTTCTTATCGTATTTATCGAAGCGTTTTTAGACGAGATAAATATAATTCAAAAAACACGAACAGTATCGTTTGACTAGCTAATAAACAAACAACAGTCATATAAACAGAATGTATTGTTTATATTGGCTCTAACGAAATAAAACAAACGCAAGAATTACATGCAGGCTTGAAGCGAATCGCAGACAAATCAAACAATCAAATAAATTTGCGTTATTCGGCGTAGTCGTTACTCAAGCTTTATAACTTTTTATTATCACTGCTCTTTGCGGAAGCCAATAGACATGTATATTTCGTGAAGCAACCCTCCCATATTCATTCCATATCTCTAAAATCTACACTTTATTTTCAATTTAATTACTATCAATTTTATTCTATTGTAGGATTTAAATATCTATATTTGATTTTCTTATTCTATATAATTTATTAGAGATGCTTCTCGCA